TGACTTTCGAGTTTTGTCAAAGAGGGGTAACTGTAGACACCCCATTTTTTACCGACCTTAAGACTCAGACGTCATCGATTGAGCGCTCGGTGATTGCGCATGTTGTGCTCGTTTCGAGGTTTCGGAGTTCTTGGCTGAGAGCCTCACCTCCGGACCTCAGGACCCTTTGTGCTTTGACTCGGTCTGCGGACTAAGTCTTTTTTTCTCTTCCATGAGGGAGGGAGAGGTCTTGTAGACCATCTCTCAGTGGTCGTAGGCCACCGTTCCCGTTTGGAGACTAGTTTCCAATTTTCGGAGCCGTTGGCCGTGCGTCTCGATTCGGGACCACTTAACATTCTCTGTTTGGCACGGTTTTTGGAACACACCTTGTTTCCTCTGTCTAGAGGGACACTGTGGTCAGGGAGACTACTTTTGGTGCTCAGCAGCCAGTTTTCGGGGCACCCGGCCGCGCGTTTTGCCCCCCGAACTCTCGTTTTGCATCCGTGTTGGTTCATTTTTGGCATGAACCTTGTTTTCCTTATTTGGGAGGTGGTACAAGGGTGGGAGACCACCTTTTCTCCTTGGAGACCACTTTCTCCCCACCAGCCGGTTTTCTTGTCGGGAAGCTGGTTTTCTTGGTCTTTGGGCCACATTTGCTGGTCTCCCACCACACCACTAGCTTGCTTTCAAAGTAGAGACCACCAATAGGAGCCACCGACCACTTTTTTGTGTGGGAGACCACCTACCCTAGTCGGCCGACTAGGGAAAGTGGTCGGCTGACCACCTTTTCTGGTCGGCCAGCTCCCTCCTATTTTGTCTGTTTGAGTGGGTGCCAGCTATGCCAGTTGGAAGGCACAAACTGTATCCTCCGTACATGTGTATGGAGGATCTTGAGCCTTGTTGTAGCTTCTTGAAGAAGATTTGGCCTTGTTTGTTTATAAGAGAGGCCCTCCCCCTCCTTGAACCAGGTTTAGAATTTCTCTAAGGCAAAACAATACATATCTCTCTATATCTCTATATTTTGGCTCATAAGGTGCATTGTTCTTGACCCGTTTACACTACACCTCATAGCCATACACTTCCACCATTGATTTGAGGTTCTTGGAGGTTGTTTTCAGAGGTTAAAGTGCTGGTTTTTGGTCCCAAAGTTTGCTGGTTTTGCTGAGCTTCAAGGGTAATCACTTTTCCCTCTTTTAAGCATTATTTTGATCCTTCTCTTAGCCTCATTTGCATGCTTATTTGAGCTTTGTTGTCAACTGAAAAAAGGTTCATATTTAAGTGATTTTCATGTTTGTTTAAGGCTCTTTTGGTGTTGGGGGTCATCTACCCTCTTGCATGCTCTATTTAGCCTTGTTTTGAGCCATGCCATGAGACCTTTGTATTGAGCTTTGCTTGGCCCTTTAGCCACTGAAATCCAGTAGATTTTCAATGGTTGGCATGTGGTTTTGAGGGCCAAAATCAGAGAGGGGAGACCCTCTCTCTTTTGGCCTTGTTTGCTTGCATTTTTGGCTTTCCAAGGGAGCATATATTTCCACACTTCCTAGCCTTGGTTCAGGCCCTTTTTAGTGAATTTTAGGACCTTCCTAGACTCTATCTATGGCTGGTTTGGTCACCTTTTGTTTGCCTCTTGCATGTGTAGAACAATCCCTTGCATAGCCTATCAAAGTAACACCTCATTCTTGCATGTATTGGTCATGTTTCAGTGGGTTTTTGGCCATCATTTGGCATGCCATGATTCTATTTTTGGCTGGTTTGGTAGCCTCTCATATGCTTCACATGCTTGTAGTGTAAATCATGTTCACTAGCTTATAATGCATGTTGTTTTGGCCCTCTATGCAAGCATTTTGGGCTGCCTTAGCTCTGTTATGAGGTCCCTTGGTCGAATGATGCTTGCCATGTATGGTTGTAGTGTAATAGCCTTGCTTAACCTTGAGTTATGAATCCCCTTGCATGCTTAACTTGAGGTGTTTGCATGTTTTAGTATCATTGAGCATGATATTTCATAGTTTATTTCTTGGCCATATTCTCATGTTTGTCACTCTTTCAATGTGTTTGAGAGTTGCATCATTATACCCCATTTATGAGCCTTTGCATTGAGCTTCATTCTTATGCCTTTCAAGCCACTATCTTGGCTCATTTTGCCACTTTTTTGGGCCTGCTTAAGGTCTGTTTGGAGTTGGTTTTGTCATTTGAGCATCGCCTTGCATGCCTCTAGTGTAATGTGCTTCACTAGCTTCGGTGCTTAAGCCTTTCAACATGCATTGTGTGAGTTGTTTGCATGATTCGGAACCATTTTGTATGTCATTTTAGAGCTGGAGCATGTGTCATTTTATACATATTTCATCCTTTCAATGCTTTTGTAGATTTTCATTTTGTGCCCTCAGGCTTAGGTCCTTGCATTGTGTATGCTAGCATGAGTTTTGGAGTCTTGTTTTCATCATTTTTGGCCACTGATTTTGGTGTGGCTGAGGCCCATTCATTTTGGTTTAAGTCCATTTTTGCATTGAGTATGCCATTGTATTCCATAGCATTGAGTATGCCACATTGTCGCATGATTGATCATTGCGTTGTGCATGCCTTGTTCATCTCATTGTGTATGTTAGTTCTTAGGTGTATTGTGTATGCTAAGTACCACGTGCATTGAGTACGCCATTGTTAGTTCATAGCATTGTGCATGCTAGTTGCATGTTTGCATGTCATCATTTGCATGTTTGCATCACTTAGTTGTATAACATTTAGGTTGCATACTTAAAGTCGCATTGTGCATGCCATTGTTTGTTGCATTGTGTTTCGGAATAGGAGTTAGTCCGAACACGGGAAACGAGGGACGTTTCGTACTCAAAATGATGAAACGTGCCTCGATTCCTGGTCGCCAACACTCTTGACTACCCATGACGGAATTGTTGGCTTTAGGTGCTTGTATGTGCATTCATTTCACATTGAGTCGTGCAATTCGACTCCTCGGCCATCATGCATCGAGATACGCGACCGGTGGCCCGAGGGTCGAGGACTACACTCCCTAAAGCTTATGCAATGACGGGGAGAGTGGTCATGCACACATGTGTTGCAAATACCTTGTCGTGCCTCTCTCTCTCTTGCTTTGTGTTGCAGAAAAATAGAATCCAGGGGCAGAAACTGGTGGGCCGACCAGGTTTTCTGGTAGGCCGACCACCTTCTTTGGTTTCCACCACAAAAGGTGGTCGGTAGTTGGTCTCCCATGGCTATAAGCTGGTCGGCAGCCTTCCCACAGTTTCCCGGGGTGGAGTTTCATTTCTCTTGAGCTTTGTGCAAATTTCTTAAATCAATTACAAACAAAGGCAAGCTGGGGCATCACGATGGATTTCCCGACAAGGCAACTCGAGCATGCATGCATCCTTTATCATTCAAGGCAGAGCTGAGGCAATCTACATTCATGTAGTTTGCATGCTAGTTTGATTGCTTACTTAGTTAGTTTGTTAATTAATTAGAGTTGTGTAATAATTAGCTGTAATTTATTATTCATTTTGGTTGTGTAATAACTAGCTTAATTAGATTGGCTTAGATTAGCTGGTTGGTGTTTTATTATTTATTCGAACCCTCCGTCGAGAGGGCCAACTGTTGTAATAAGTATGCGTGTGTGTGATGCATGTCTTCCAACCCCACATCTTTCTCCATTTTATTTACCAGCTTATGATGGTTAGTTTTAGGGCATGTTTCAATTAGTATCCTTATGCTCGCATGATTGCATCCATTCATCTGTCTTGCATGCACCGGGCTCAGCGTATCATACTAACTGCATTGTATTTCAATTCCAAGTTGAATACATGTTATCTGTAACATCTCATATGCCATTTTAGAATAGCTGAGCTTATCTTAGTTGCATCCTACATGTGTTGCATTAGGCATCTCAGCATAGTTAGGATTCATGAATGATTTCTAATTAGCCTCTTTCTTTGGCTCGGAGTACTCGGTGAGTGTTTATGCTTTAGCATTGTTGCATGTGTGTGAGTGACTACCATGATAGCATGCTTGCCATGAGGCTAAATGATTATGTGATATACCTGCCTGAATGCCTGTGGGTGAATGTTGGATTACTTGAATTGAAACAATTCATTGATTGCGGGTTTTAAGCCCACTTGAGAGTGGCAAATCACCATGTTTTCTAAAGCCCACTTGAGGGTGGCAAAATCCACATTTTAGCCTATTTGCGAGTAGCAAACCGCTTTCAAAAACAAACATTAGATGTTTTGTTCCAACTTAGACGATCCAGTCTATACTTGTTTGCCGTGCACATAGCATAGTAATTCTAGGCTAATAACCAGAATAAGAGCACGTATGTTTTCAAAAACAAGATATCAAGTTTAGTAGTGGCCAATCTTTGATCGGGTGAGCGGGGGTGCTCATTGCATGACCTTCTCCAATCGTACCCAAGTTCCCGAGCCGTGGCAATTTTGGTGATGACGGACACGTGGCCTTAGGCACGAGTCAGGGTTTCCTAAATTCCCCCAAAATAAAATATTTAGGTGGCGACTCTGTATCTGGCAAAGCAGTCCATGTTTGGCACTTCTTTCTAAAAATCAGTTTTTCAAAACAATTTGCCAGATTTGGACTCTTTGGTGATTTATCAATCTCATATTGCACTTTGCGAGATCAGATTAAGAACCGTGACATTGAGTCCGAACTGTAGTAAGCCCAATGAACAAAATGGGATTTTCCTGGGACGTTCGGGGACGTCTACAATGTACTACGAGACCTTCAAACAACTAAAATTGGAGGACAAAGACTTGGTGCCTGCGACATCTCCCCTCGTCGGTTTCAACTCAATGCTAGAATGGCCAGAGGGCAAGATAATTCTGCCAGTCAAGACAGGAACAATGACAAAACATGTGGAATTTTGGGTATTGAAGGTCCTTTCCACTTACAACATAATCTTGGGAAAAACATGGTTACACGCCATGTGTTCAATGGCATCAACCTACCATCAGGCATTACGGTTCCCCAACGAAATCAGAGTGATTGAAGAAGTCTTAAGAGACCAAATTATGTCAAAACAGTGCTTCGTCACGGTAAATGGCAGCCATGCTGCAAAAGGGTTTGTACAGATAGTGGAGGAGCCAGAAAGCAACGAACTGTTTGCAGATGTCGGCAAAGTAGCCGAACAGAAGGCATTGGAAGACTTGGTAGAGGTAAGGATAGATGAAAAGAATCCATAAAAGTTCTTTTTGCTCGGCTCGTCTTTGTCCAGCACTGAGGGAATAGAGGTCATGGAATTTTTAACCTCTAACATAGAAGTCTTTGCCTGGACACCGTATGATATGCCTGGCATTGACCCTTATTTCATCTACCATCAACTTAATGTCCATCCAACTGCCAGGCCAATCATACAGCGAACTCGCCGATCGGCACTCCACCACGCAGAGATAGTGCCAAAGGAAGTGGGAAACTTACTAGAGGCAGGAGCAATTAGAGAAGCACACTATCCCAAGTGGATATCCAACACTATAGTAGTGCCAAAAAAGAACAGAAAATGGCGCGCTGGCGTGGACTACAAAACAGTTAACAAAACATACCCAAAAGATAGTTTTCCCCTACCACGATAGACCAACTAGTAGACCTGACAGCAGGGCATAACCGACTTAGCTTCCTTGATGCGTATCGGGGTTACCGTCAGATCGCTATGAACGAACCGGACCAAGAGGTCACATCATTTACAACACCCAGATGACTATACTATTACAAGGTCATACCTTTCGGCCTAAAGAACGCAGGGGCTACATTCCAATGGATGGTCACCAAAATATTTGAACCATTGTTAAGCAGAGCAATGAAGGCTTACATAGATGACATGGTGGTCAAAAGCAAAGATGAGAAGGACCATCTCAGGGACCTAGATGAAATGTTTCAAATTTTAAAGTCCCACAAGTTACGTCTAAAAGCATCTAAGTACGCATTCGGCGTACAATCAAGCAAATTCCTAGGCTTTCTAGTGACCAATCGGGGTATAGAAGATGATCCCTCTCAGATCAAAGCCATCCAAGATCTTGGGAGGCCCAACAAAGTCAAAGAAGTACAACATCTCACTAGCCTAATAGCCGTGCTTAACCGGGTCATAAGTTGGTCGTTAGACAGGTGTCGACCATTCTTTCAAGCACTGAAGGCTAAATTTGAGTGGGATGATGAGTGGGACCGTGCCCTGGAAAGCTTGAAAGACTACATGACCTCTCCTCCATTGTTAGTAACCCCGGTACCAGAAGAAGAGCTCTTTTTGTACTTAGCAGTTTCATAACATGCAGTCAGCGCAGTGTTGGTCAAAGAAGTGGAAATACAACACCTACCTATCTTTTATGTTAGCAAGACCTTGCTGGGTACTGAAACAAGGTACTTTGCATTGGAAAAGCTAGCTCTAGCTTTGATGATGGCCTCAAGAAAGTTATCACACTATTTCCACGGCCACACCGTGATTGTCCTAACGGCTTTCCCCTTAAAAGCCTTGTTTGAGAGGGCGGATTTTTTTGGACGAATCTTGAAATGGGCAGTGGAGTTGGGGTAGTTCGATATTAATTTTCAGCCAAGAACCGCAATAAATACCCAAGCTTTGGTAGACTTTGTGGCCAAGTTCATGCTAGAAAGTCATCATGTCTGCCCGATTGATTTGACTGCGGTAACTGAAAGAAAGGGGAAAAGTGTCGCGGGAACTGCGCAGCTCCCAAAGTAGGACGTCCAGCTGCATAGCAAGCCATACAAGTTTGAGGACAGGGAAGAAAGAACAGACCACGCTATTCTCAGCAGGGACTCACCAAAAAGTAAAGACTTGAGGTAGTCAGACACTGAAGATCAAACCCCGACAACAGACATCGACCTGGAAGAAAACATCAGTAACACCCCTGATCCCAAGACATCATCCGATCCCTTTACTTGTTGGAAATTATTCGTCGGAGAGAAATAGAAACTCTTCGTGGATAGAGCATCCAACGGGCATGGTGTAGGACTTGGCATAGTCCTCATCTCACCGGATGGCCTAATAATTGAACAGACAGTCAACCTTGGCTTCCCATCATCCAACAACGAGGCGGAGAATAAAGCATTGCTAACAGGTTTAAAATCAGCACTTCACATGAAGGCCACCGAGCTGATGGTGTACAGTGACTCCCAGCTAGTAGTCAACCAGATTTTAGGCAACTACAAGGCAGAAGATGATGGGATGGCTAAGTATCAAGAGTTGGTCAGAAAGGAGATCATGAAGTACAAAATAGTCCGGATAGAGCAAATCGGACGAAAGGAAAATAGTAGGGCAGACGAGCTGGCCGGTAAAGCAACCGAGGCATGTTGTGCCAAACTAGGCCCTTCCTGGATGGACCCTATCATAGTATTTTTAAAAGATGGAATCTTGCCTGAAGAAAAGAAGGAAGCCAACAAAATTAGAGCAAAATCACAGTGATTTTGGCTTTCTCTATCACTCGCATTGTACAAAAAATCCTTCACAGGACCTTACTTGAAATGTGTCCATCCCAGTAAGGTCGAGGCATTTTTGTTTGAAATACATGAAGGCGTCTACGGAAGTCACTAAGGGGGAAGATCATTGGCCTACAGAGCAATTTCACAAGATTATTAGTGGCTATACATGCAAGTAGATTCAGAGAAATATGTCAAGAAGTGCGAGAAATGTCAGAAGTTCGCACACTAAATACATCAACCAGTCATAGAGCTTCTACCATTGACTATCTCGTGGCCCTTTGCAATGTGGGGCCTGGACATAGTGGGACCACTTCCAACTACGCCCGGCAACAGAAAGTTCTTTCTCACAGCAACAGACTATTTCACAAAGTGGGTGGAGGCAGAAGCACTCGCATCTATAAAAAGAGAAAGACGTTAAGAAGTTCGTCTGGCAGAACATCATAACTCAATTCGGCATACCCAAGGCTCTAATATCTGACAACGGCACTCAGTTTGATGGCAAAATCTTTAGGGGCTTTTGCGAAGAATACAAGATAGAATTCTACAACTCTACACTAGCATACCCTCAAGCGAATGGCCAGGCTGAAGCTTCCAACACTACAACAAAAGTAATCTATGGTGATGAAAAGTAGTGAAGAAAATAAATTTCGTCACTAAATAAAAATAATCCGTGACAAATTATAAAATTTTGTCACATATAATAAAAAATAAAAATAATAGGTGACGAAATTTATTTTTGTCAACAAATACTTCTTTTTAGGTGAGGAAAACTTAAGTATCGTCACCGAAGTTTTTCCCGCTAATTTTTTTTTTGGTGGTGCCAAATTTTTGAGACTTTTGGTGAGAAAATTTTTTGTCACTAATTATAAAATTATTAGCGAGAAAAATATTTTCGTCACCAATAATTCTATATATATATATTTTAAGACACTGTAGACACCCTATTTCTGACCGTCCTCAAGACTTGGACGTCACCGGTGGGGACACTCGATGATCATCCATGTTTGTGTTCGTTTTGAGTTCCCAGAGGCCTTGGTTGCGTGCCTTGCCTCAGGATCTCTCAACTTGTTCGTCTTGCGTTTGGTTTCGCACCAAATACTTGTGTTTTTGCTTTGAGGGGTAGGGAATGACTTGTTGACCATCCCCACACCCCATCGGCCTTCCCTTTGCATCACCGGCCATTTATTTCTGACACCGGCCATGGTTTCTTAATACCAATGGCCGGTCAACACTCCATGTGGCCAACCGGCTATCTATTTGGCCGGCGACCTCCTTTTTTGGCCGGTAACACCTTTTTGCCTTCTTCAGGCATGGTGCATGCCAGCTGTGCCAGCTGGAATACACCAAACCTACCCCGGGGCTAACATGTGGCTGTTTTGCCCCTTTTGTCCCCTTTTGGTCAAAGCTTCTTGAGGAAGCTTGACCCTTTGTCAAAGCTTCCTCAAGTAGCTTGGCCAGCTATCTTAGCTTCCTCAAAAAGCCTTGACCTCCTTGCCCCCTTTGCCCCCTTTTACTTAGCTTCTTTGAGAAGCTTAGAACCATTTCTTTTGCCTATATAAGCACCTCTCTTCTTCCATTGTAGAGGGTTAGAGATTTTGAACAAAAAACTAGAGATTATACATATATACATCTATCATATACTCTCTTTCTCTATATTTCCCTCTCTCTCATCCTTAGTGTGTGTTTGGAGGCCTAGAAGGTGTGTTTTGACCTTAGTTTTGCACTAAGACACACACCATTACACCTTGCTTCAACCTTGAGGGGCTTTGAGGGTTTGCTTTTGAAGTTTTGGATTGATTTTGGTCAGAAGAGAGTGGTTGGACCAGCTGTTCTTCAAGTGTTCTTCAAGGGTAAGACTTTTGCTTTATTTTCCCCAATCTTGCATTAGTTTTTGACCTGCCTTGCATGCTGATTTAAGCTTTGTTTATAACATGAAAAAGTCTTGTATTTTCATGCTTGAGATCTTTCATTAAGGTCCTTTTATGGTTTGGGGTCGACCCCCCCCCCCTCTTAGGCCTTGTTTGGCCCTTTTGGTGCTTTCTTTCTTAAGCTTTGGTTACTCTTGAGTCTTGGCCTTCTCACCACTGAAATCTAGTGGATTTTTAGCGGTGAAGAAGGGGGTTTGAGGTCTTGCACAGGGGAGGGACACCCCTCTCCCTTAGTCTCTCATTTTGCTCATGTTTTGGCTCATAAAGGTAGCATGTATGCTTGATTGTATTTGGCCCTATTACAGAGGTTTTTAGGTGTTATTTGGGCATATCTTACCTCTGTTTTTGGTCAGATTTGTGGTCCCTTACATGCTTAATACACTTGCTTTGTACTCCCCCATTTTGCCTAGAAATGCATCTAGCCATTAGACCATCGTGCTTGCATGTTCTTGCCTAGCTTTGTGAAGCTTTTGGTCATGATTTACCATGATTGAGGTCTTTTGGGTGCTGGTTTAGTCGTATTTGCCATGTTTGGTATAGCCTCTTTGTATTTTGGCTTGTGAGCCTTGGGTGTGTGAGTCACTAGCATGCTTTAGTTGGGTTGTTTCAATGATTTGGAGTCATTTCATATGCCATTTCAGTCCCTAATCCATGCTTGTATGCCCACATTCATCGTCACTTTCTTGCCTTGAAAGGTTGTTCTTTTGTGCCTTGGAAAATGGTCATTGTGCATGCCTATGCGTTTAGACATTAGGCTGCCATATCAGTGGGTTTTGGGGGCCCTTTTTGCATGCTAAAACTCCATTTTGTATTGAAAAATGCATGTCATGTTTGCATGGGGGGGGGTGTTGAGCAATGCTCCAATTTTTGGCCTTGAATGCCCATGTTTTGGACTCATTCCTCGGCGTGTTTTGACCATGATCTATGCATGTTCCAGCCCTGTTTTAGAGTCCTCTAGGACTGTTTTAGGTCATTTTGGTCCATCGGGGTTTGATTAAGATGGCCATGGTTCGACCCTTCTTGGTTGGCTTCAAGTTTGGATCATTGTTGCATGCCTTGCTTGCATGACATGGTTGATTTGGCATCTTCTTCTATACATTTTCAGAGCTTAATATGTTAGCCTAGCATCCATGTTTGTCATCTTGTGAGTGCCCTTCAAAGTTGCCTTTCATGCCTTAGTCTTAGGCTCATTACTTTGCATGCTTCTTTTGCATGATTGGCATCATCATTTTAGTGCACTTTGGCCACTGTTTTGGGGAGGTGGCTGAGGTTCTTCCATCCTAGTGTAAGTCCGTGCATTTGTATCTTGTAGCATACTCATTACATTGCATGTTTGTTGCATCCTTGTAGTCAATGCATTGTTGCATGTTTACCACTTTGCCTAGTTGCCTAACTAGGTTGTATTGTAGCATTGCATGCTTGGCATATTGCACACTTGCATAGTAGCTTACATTGCATTTGGCATGTTTTGTAACTTAGTCTTTTGTACACTTGAGCCATGTTTGTATACATGCATTACATTGCTTGGTTTGGGGTGTCAAACCAAGCACGAAGATTGAGGAGTGTTCGTACTCAAGGTGACGTAACACGTCTCAATCCTCGGTCGCCGTTGTCGTTGATCTCAATATGATAGGGTATTGGCACTCATTTGTTTGTTGCATGCATTTACATCAAAGTTGCTAACTTGGCCTCTTAGGCCATCTTGCATCAAAAGTGCACAATTGATGGCCCGAGGGTCGAGGGCCATGCTCCCTCGAGTCCATTGCATGATAGGGAGAGTGGCCATGCATATATTGCTCTGAATTTCCTTGCCATGCACTGTCTGCCCTCTGCTGCTGTCAAAAACAGGTTCTGCAGGAGTACACCTCGGGAGTTGCGATGATCCGGACATTTCCTTGCCATGATCCGGACATGGCCGGTGGTGATCCCACTTGGTCGGTGATGCTACCCAGTGTCCAGAGAGTGCACCTCGGGAGTTGCGTAATTTTCAGAGAAGCAGAGCAGTGTAAACAGAGGCAACAGTGGCATGGCACGGGTTTCCGAGCAAGGCGAGTCAAGCATGCATCATCCACGCATTCCGAGGCAGAGCTGTGGCAGTCTCTTTAGTTTCATATTTAGACTGTTTCTGTAATTAATTTGTTGATTAATTAGAAGTTTTGTAATTAATTAATTAGTTAGTCGGCTAGTTAATTAGTTAAATCTGTAATATTTATTTGGACCCTCCGAGCGAGGGCAATTGTGTAATAAGTGTGCTAGGTCGCTTACGTGAGTGTGTGGTATGTCTTCCACCCCCCACGTCTTTCTTCCTTTTATTACCCGCTTATGATGGTAGACTAGGCATATTTAAATTAGCATACCTTAAGCTGCAATGGTCGTGCGTTCATACATTTGTCTTGCATGCACCGGGCTCGGCGCATCATTCTAACTGCATTTGTATTTCAATTCCAAATTGAATATGTGTTAGTTGTAGCATTTCACATGTCATTGTAGATTAGCCGAGCCTATCTTAGTTGTATTTTGCATGTGTTGCATTAGCCATCTTTAACATGAACTAGGATCATGCATATGATTACTAACTAGTTTTTGTTTTGGCTCGGAGTACTCGGTATGCATTTATGCTTTAGCATACGCATAGTGGTGAGTGTTTGCCATAACAG